CACACACACACACACACACACACACACACCATACTGTGCACGCACACACGCACATAGCCAGGCCTGTTTTTGTTCTCCAGTTTTCAGGGAAAGAAAGGAAAAATGACATCAAGCTTATCATGTGAGGCCAATGAGACTGACGGAGGAGGAGGAGGAGGAGGAGGGGGGGTCAGAAAATCTGGCAGAAACAGGAACATTGTTACATAAAACTCAGCACAGACCTCCCCTGGGTCCTGTTACAATAATATCTGTGTCTCATGTGTGCGAGAGAGCTGGCCCACATATGAATGCATCCATACGCTGGCTTGTGAACGAAACATGTGCGTTCATGTGAGCCTTCGATACCTGCAGAAAAGCAGCGCTGTGTCAGAGGAGGGAGGTGATGTCACTGGTATTCTGTAGCTCTTTGACCTTTGTGGTCCCCTTGTTTCGGGACAGGGTGGGGCCGATGCGCGCGCTCRTTTGTGTGTGTTTGCATATCTACGGGGCCCGGGTGAGAACATCGAGGCCACTGGCGCCAGATGTGATGACCGCAGGAGTCTGGGCCTAAAAATAGAGTTCTGTTCTCAGCACCGTGAAACGGAGGAGGAAGGAGGAAGAGGAGGGGATGAGTGAGGGGAGAACGTGAAGGAGATGACGGCGAGATTAAGAGAGAGAGAGAGAGAGAGAGGAGGTCATTGAGAATACTGTGTCAGATCTCCCCGAGGATGGTGAGCTCACCTCCTAATGGCACCACTGGTGCTTTCTCAATGAAATCATTGATCTGCTGGAGCTCCTCGCGGCGTAAACGAGAGAGTTCACATGGAGGAGGAAGGAGCAAGGTGGCGCAGAGATGACATTTTAGAATATTAAAAAAACACAAGAAAGTGTTTTTCTGACCAGCTCTGCCAACACCAACAAGCCCAGAGGCACAGAACTGAAATAATATCACTTAAACATCATTTCTAAAGCTTGATTCATCGGGTGATTTTTAAAAATTCTTTCAGCCTCGAGTGCACACAAACAGCGTTTTGGGAGCCCCAAAATGGTACAAAAGAGCGAAAACATCTGGAAATGCTATTGTTGCATTTCTGTGGAAGGTCAAAACACCATGATGTTTATTGGCACAAATTTGATGATTATGATACATATCAAGACACGAGTCGCTGTTTGAAGTTGTGATATATTGTAAGCAAGGCGATATATTACCATCTTTTTCTCCGAAATTTTTTATTCATCATAAATCATGCTATGCATTAGAAAGAAAATCCAAATAAATTTAGTTTACTTTTATAAAATCAGAAGAACTGCATTCGTATTTCACGTTTCTTCTTACAAAATCCATCTATTAAGCCTTAATTACAAATCGATACATTGCTTTTGACAATCCGTGCAGTAACAGGAAATGAAATGTCAYGATGTTTCCATCATGTTTCCATCCAATTTTAATGTGAATTTTGAGCAAAACTTTTAAAATGTCTCACACACCCAAATTTTTTTTAAACAAACTAAATAAATAAACAAAATAAATGTGAAATAGATGTGTTTCCATCTATTGGTTTGGAGCAAATCAACCAGGCTGCACAAAGTTTAATTTCAGACGTTGACGTTACACATGGCTGTAATAAACAGAGGTTGCAAACTAACAGTGACCACACATCTCCCCTTTTGTGTATAGACTTATTTTCAAAAAAATCCAAAAACCACCTCAAGTGAGCCTAAAAACTTTTTTTTGCGAAATTGAGGAAGGTTTTAAAAATTTGCCAATTCAATCAACCATTTCATTGTAACCATTTCAATCAACTTCTTCTAAAACAATACTTCAAAATGCACATAAAAAATACGTTGATGAAGACACGGATATGGTATCAATATTTCCCCACAACCTTCTGAAAATGATGATGTCATAGTTCCATCTTCTGTCTAACATACATTGTAAACATGATTGCTTTTGTTTTGCAGACACCTTTTTCTCAACTCCAACACAAACCTACAGATGAAAAATAAGTTTTTGGCTATATTTTAGCTATTTTTAACTTATGAATTGTCATGTGTTTTGTTAAACTGCACAGTCTCCTTTCAAATCAAACCTTCTTATTTTATTATTTCAATAGGCAGACAAGGCTGATTAACAACATAACTTTGTTAAATAAAGTAAACCAAAACCTCTTATTACTATTATTATAATGGACAACCAAAAAAGGTTTTAATCACTATTGAACTGTCAACAATATCTGCACCACATCTTTCCTGTTTCTACATACAAGCTATAATAATTGTGTGAATTATTCTAAAGCATTCACACTGAGATCATTTTTTTCTTTTGTGTTTTATATAAAAGGAGCTGTCATCAACATCCTGAAAACCCTTCAAAATATTCAGAAATCTTTACTAAACTGGTTATCTTTTGTTCTGCTTCTGCTTTTTTCAACTTCTTTGTGCTAATTTCAGCTTCCTTCAGCTTCTATTTAGCCTTTTTCAGCCATTATTTTACTAATTTAAACTTTTTTGTACTTTTTTCAGCTTCTTTCTGTGATTTTAAGGTTTTTATACTTCAGCCGTTTTCTGTATTTTAGGTACTTTTTCTTCTTTTTATGATTTTAAGACTTTTAAGCTTAATTAAGCTGTTTTCTGCACATTTCAGCTGTTTTCTGTATTTTAGCTTCTTTTTCTTCTTTCTGTGATTTTAGGCTTTTTATCTTTCTTTCAGACRTTTTCTCCTGATTTCAGATGTTTTCTGTGCTTTTAGCAACGTTTTATCTAATTAGAGTTTTTCAGCTGAATTCACATTTTTGTGATATTTTCAGCATCTTTCTGTTTAATTCAGCGAACATACTCTTTCTCTTGTGCTAATTTAAGCTAGTTTTTAAAAAAGCTATTTTAGGCTAGTTTCAGCTTTTTTTYCCGATATGCAGCAAAAATCTTTCAGCATTTTGAAAGGCAGCATTTTCATACGGTCGAGGCCTTTTAAGGCCCTTCATCACTCAGGTATCAACACGTTTTCCTGTCTGTTCTGATGACAACATCAGGAGATGCAGGCAGCAGCTTCAGGCCAAGAGGTGTGTCTGAAAGAATTTTAAATCAGGCTGCGCAGGTGTGCATGCAGGTCTGTGTTGTGTGTTGGCCACAGCAGACATGCTGGTGGAGCTTCTCCCTCTCTGGTTGTTTTATATGATGAAACAAAGAAACACACAAAAAAAAAAAAACTTCCTGCTGGACTCCAGAAAACCCAGTGAGGACACTGACAAACAACACAAGACAGCTCGTCTCATTAAGTAAAGCTCCCTGGTCACAAACACACTGAATCCTCATAAAAGTAGCCAGTTGAACACATTTTGTGCACGCTCACATTCAAGATCTAATGAGGAGCATTACCTCATCTCCTCAATTGCTCTCCTCCCTCTGTTTTGTCCTTTCTTCCTAATCTCACACAATCTCAAATATTGCATCATGCGCGTGCACACACTTACTTCATATGCATATATTCATGCAGAAAAAGGGGCTGGGTGTGTGTGCTCACACGCGAGGACACACACAAGACACAAAAAGACCTCCTTATGTACCTCTTTGGAATGTCTCTGAACGGCTGCATTGTGAGATTCAGTCTCCTGCGATTACCTCACCTCTTCAACTTCTCTCCAGTGCGCGCACACACACACACATACACACTACAGCCCTGTTGAATAACAGAGCAGTAGAATAACATATTACTGGCCTGACCTTTGGACCTCCGTCTGCAGAGTCACACCTTAACCTGACCTCATCGAAGCTCTGCAGAGCACAGCGAACGTTTCTTAGAGCGTGAGACAGAAAGAGCGGGAGCCAAAGAAAATGAGGGAGAGGCGCCTTTCATCTCCTAATTCCTCTCATCAGTATGTCACCGCTGTGTGTCATCTTTGTGCGATTTGGAAAGGATCTGGCAAGCTGACAGTAAAGAAACAAAGCTTCAAAAGGGAAATAAAAACGTGCTTTTTGTGTCAAATTCTGCAAAAAGTTCCTGAAAAAAAAAAAAGATCCAGTAGCTATGATTACATGGACATCATGTAAAAAAAGCCCTGATCTGATTCAGCTTGATCTGAATGATTTTATCATTTGAGTGAGAAGGGTGCTTTATGCTGATCGATAATTAAAAAAAATGTGTGCAGGTAAACTCTTATGCTGATAATGTTATTCTGGTTGTTGAAAACTGACCTGATGTATTTCCACCTGGCTAGATGCTAAATATAGACATGTAGAGGAAGCAAAACTGGTCGGTTATTGATTCAACATTTCTATTAGAAACGTTGAAAGAGCTCAAAATGATCAAACGCCTTGATGGTTAAAAGGAGGAACATGAAGTTATTTCAGCGTTTACTGATTTTAACGTTTATGTTCATGACGGAAGTAGAACTTCTTCTTCTGTGGTTTCTTTAGGGTAAGTTTACAACACGTCTATATACTAAATAAAAGGCTAGTGTGTGTCGACGCTCATCATGATTGGATTAATTTTCATGTAGACAATACTTTCAGATTATTGAGCATGTATCACCTTTTAKTGTGAAAAATCCAAACTCGCCTAATAATTATGGCATTTATTGTTCATTAATATACAGATGAATAAACAAGACATCAGATAATAAGACTTTCATGATGTCTCATTAATAAACTTTATAAATGCATCATTTTGCTCTTCAGCTCTGTTATATTTCTTGTGCTCTCTCTTCTTCGTTGTTTTAACCCTGCGATGTAACACTTCACTAATCCCAAGAAAAACACCGACAGATGGCAAAGGTTCCAAGCCTTCCTGCATATCTTCAGGCCAGCTGACCAAGGCGCACACCTTTTCACCRTCATTTCCTCCTTTATGATAAATCCCTCTTATCTGTTCCATTTATATACTTTCTTTTTGTTCTATTCTCTGCCTGTCAACAGCAAAAAGCACATGCTGTGATTAAGATGCCGTTTTATTTTTCACTTCACCTCGCCTCCTTCTGGAACCTTTCAGCTCGACTTTATTTTTAACACCTCGTTTCTTTTTTTAATGTTTTTTTTWAATTCGGTTTTGTCTCTGTTGAAATGCAGAACAGGCAGCGTTCGGCATTATTGTCGCTTTGGTTGTGCACTTTCAAATTGGTGGGAAACATGCAAACTTTAGACCCACTGGGGAGGCATCTGGGTCCAACAAAGTGATGTTGTCCTCTTCTTCACACACATGCGTGCACAGAAACACACATGCACACTAAATAAATAAATAAATAAATAAAAAATCTGAATTAAAAAAAGGCAGTACGCGTCAGTTTGAAGTCCAAACGGGTGAGATCACCACTGTGGTAAAAATACAGCCGTCCTGGGAGAGAAATGTTTCTTACCAACACTTTCACACAATCAATGAAGCGCTCAAACACGCACTTAAATCTTGAGCATACACACGGATTTACAAGCATATTCACACACACACACACWGACATTTTCCAACTGCCACTACGACCACATCCTGAACAAATACATAATTCAAAGTAATTACACTGAGCGAGTCCCTCAGGACCCGGATTTACTTCTCCTGTTCAGAAAACAATGACCCAATGAGGGACGTCTTCCCATGACATCATGGAGGAAGTGGATCGCCTTTGTAAACAAGTGTTATTGATTATTTGGTGAATCGATGGACCCAAAAGGGGTCTTGGTTGTTTTTAGATCAATGCACAACAATTACTTTCACTTTAACATGTCGTTCAAGAAGCTGATCTGACAGCCGTGCATCGATTCCTGCAGGTCTATGGTACATTTTCTATCAACAATTTGAACAAATAGAACAATAACCACAGTTTAGAAATGTGTCCAGAAGGCAATCTAGTCTGACAAGCATCTAGAAAACGTAAAATAAAGAGTCATAATGCTTTAATATAATAACCCTCGTCCTGATTGAAGATCTAATATTAACCATTTAATATAGAGGAACAGTGTGATAATGATGAGGCTTTTTTAAATCTTTGATTTGGTTTGCAAGAAAATAAAAACAGCATCTTCTCAGTTGCTCCATCATCAGCCTCTTTCCTTCATTTAAAACTCTGCAGCATCTCTACACGTGATCCATCCTGCAGCACCGATTCACATCACGTCACAAAAAATAAAGCATCAGTGAATGCAAACATGCAGACTTTGTCRGCCCCACCCACTCCCGCCCCGTGCATCCGAACCTACACATCACATAAGCGCAGACGCGGCTGCGAGCTCCACTGACCCCTTTGATACAATAAAAAAATTAAAAAATTAAAAAGCCACCCAAACAACAGCCGACGCCATTGGCTGAGTTCTGCCAGGGAATATTTTTCTGCCTCTGTTGTCAGGGAAACAGCAGAAAAAGCAAAGACCGAAATGGAAGAGGTGTGATGACTTCTTTTCTTTTTCTTTTTTCTTTCTGAAGGAATGGAGCAAAAATAAGCTGTGAAGATAATTAGGAAGTGTGTGAAGCGGGGAGGGTGACCATTGACAGGGAGATTTTCATTAATATGTCTGATCAGACGAGCTGAGGAGGAAAATCCGGGCTTTCAGAAACCATCAGGACGAGTGTGCGTGTGGTCTGATGCATATATGTGACTGCACAGTGTTCAGTCCATCAAACTGATCTGGAGCCTCCTTCCTCAGCATCCATGTGATTAATGAAAAAGCACTAATCTCCCAGCAGAAGGAGAGAAGTGAGAGGATAAAAAAAACGGAGACGCAAGGAAAAAAGTACAGATTTTTCAAAGCGGCGTGTCTCATCTCATCTCATTTCCACTTCCAACAGAGGCAGATTACACTCTCCTTTTTCTTCTGACACATTTGGGATGGATTTATGAGCCTTTGTGGGTGCATGAGTGTGTAAAGTTGCAGCCAACACATTCAAAATGATCTAAACTCAGAAAGCCTATTAACAGTCCTGCTGAGGCGCAGTTACTCTCACAGGGCTTAGCGGACAGTATGACAGGATATTTAACGGTGGTTATTAAGAAAAAAAGGCTTCACGTTGCTGCAGTGGTGCTGGGGAGGATATCGCCTCCAGAGAAGCTTAAACATCAAAGTCTTCAGGAAACTTTGCATCATGGGAGCAAGCCGTTTCACCTCCTTCTCCCTCTGCTGTCTTAAGATACTCGTGAACTTTAAACCTCTAAACGTCAGCATCCAAGTGGTGATAACAGAGGAGGAATAAATAAAACCTTGCTGTGTTGATCAGTGACACCTGCTGGCTAAAATGTGCAACAACAACCTGCTTGATAAAGGTTGAAGAGACAACATAAAAAAAGAAGGATTTTCAAAAATTAAAATAAGCTATTTGAAAATTAGTTTCATTTATGCTAGACACCTACGACACACACACGCCCAAACACACACACCCAGACACTGATGCACTTATGCATACCTGTGAGGAGGGAAACTTTGTGGAAGGTGCCCTCCAGCTTCCCCATGAGAATGTGCACAAAGCCATCTTTGGACAGGTGTCCCGCTTCTTTGGAACTCTGGTCGTAAACCACCACTTCCTGCTTCCTGCCCAGCTCCACCTGCACAAAAACATGAACAACAAACAGAAAAGAAGAGTTTAATAAAAACACCGTGGYGGACAAAACAGCAAGGAAGCCAAAAATTGCAAATTTGACATCAATTCTAAGCATTTGGGTGCTATTTTTGGAGAACTCGTGCACCTGAAGTACAGGTTTTGGGGGATATTTCTCGCTTCTCAGCTGTTTGATGACATGATGATAAATGAGCACTATGACTATTTGACCTTTGCACAGTTTCCTCAAACGCTTGAGGACTTAAGAGTCACCAGGAAGCAACAAGCAGGAAAAGAAAAGGAACCTGCAAAACACCATTTTGTGTTGTGATAATAAACACAGGCTGGAGTCGGTTGTAAAAATAAAAGATTATAAAACAAAAATGCACGAGGGCTGAAAACTGCACAGCTCAGACACTGCTGAGCCACTTGGCTGTTGTTGTGGTAGATCAGAAAACACAGCACCGTGGAGGAGGGCGTTGGGGATCTGCTGCACCCGAGTGACGCTGCTGATATCAGAATTCGATTAGGAGGACGCGAGCATGCGCCGACGTGACGAGCAGGGGGTCGGTGGGCGTGGCGTGAACACGCACACGTGACCGCACGCAATCCTGCCGGGGCTGCGTTTGCTCTCCCGTGTTGTCAGGCAGGCTTTTGGTCACGTGCGTGGTGAGGCAGCGCCTGCTGCAGCTATGAATCACTGCATCAMTGAAGCACCGCTGGACAGGAGAGGGAGGGGAGGGCACTTAACAGAGGAAGGGATGGAGAGGGTGTGGATGCTGGGGGTGATGGAGGAGAGTGGAGACAGATCTAAGGCAAATAAAAGGAAACACAAAATCAGGACACAATGCAAAAGGAGGAAGCGTGAAGGGTAATTTTTTTATAAAGTACCTCAGTAATTTATTCCACAATGTCACCAACRTCAAAGCAAAACAAAGCTTCTTAGACTCTCACTTTCCAAAAGCTAAAAAAAATTCATCCTTCAGATCTCAAACTGTGACATACAACTCTCCAAAGCTACCGATGTGTGTATCAGAGGTTTGGAAGACAGCCAGGCAGGTGATTTAGACAGGATAACAGCAGTCTGTGAAGTCTGGTGGGAATATGCTTCAGTCCGGTAAAACCAGACTTTCCTCTATCTTTACGTGTCTGTATGTAACAGTCATGCTATGCTTCAGGCGGTACATGTTATGAAAAACTTAATCCAGTTAAAAATCTAGTTCATTACTTGAAATTTTTATTAATTTTGTCAGAACGTTGGCAGATAATCTGTGACTTTATGTTTAATAGAAACAATCAAATAATTTCAAGTTTAGCTTGTTGAGAGAATTTGACTGATCTGAATATTTCATATTTATTATATTGTAAGTTAACATTATCTCATTTTCAGACATGTCAACCCCTTTTGACGTTTACCTGTATAATGATCCTCAAAAATTTATAATTTTCAAAAAAAAATCGGCTCCTGCAGCACAAAACAGGAGGAAAGGAGGACGCGAGAACTTATTTCTAGCGGCAAACTGTTGGAAGATGCGTATTTGATGTTATTTATTTATTTTTAACATCCTACAGGCTTTGACTTGTTAAATAAAATTGAAACTGACTTTTTGAAAAAAAAAATAACTCATGAATCTTGAAAAAGTCTGTGAAATTGCTCTATACCTCCGTACACCTGCAAAATGATGGAAAATCCGTGYAAATTACAGATAATTCATATTAGGTGACATGTAGGCATTTTTCCTCTACTCATCAGTGTCTCCCTGTGTACACTCATCTTTACTAAGCTTGGGTAAATATGTCTAATAATCTTGATATTTTCAGTCTGATCTCACAGCGCTTGGATTAAAGTCTACATTCATGCACAGCAGAACACAGCCTTGTCATTTTTTTATATCAGATGAACTTTGTTAAAAGTCAAAGCCTTCTACCTGCAAAATTATGCAGATTGTTAAAAAACACACAAAGTATAAAACCAAATCAGCACAATGTTTTTCCTCATATTGATTGAAAAATGTCTGAACGGCTGCCAACTCCTGTTTATGTAAGGAAACAGCTGAAGTGACTGAAAAWAGGTCAGTGCTAGTGACGTCCACGGTGGAGCTTGCTTGGGGGGGGGGGTCGAGAAGTTTTGAGACTTTTGATGTACTGGTTTCAGCTCAGAKTTGTAGAGTCGATGCGGATAAAGGTACCTAAATAAAGCAGATAAACCGCAGGTTAAAGCTGCACGTTCTGCGAAGCGCGTCACATGAAAAAATTCTGCTGCAAAGTTAGAGGTCGGCAACCCGAGGCTCGGGTCGTCTGTCAGACTGCGGCATCTCATCCCTCTGCAGTGCTACAGCACCAGTGCTACTACAATCCTGGCCCGGGCAGCACTGACGCATGCACTCTGCAGGGGCTGTAAACAAGGAATGCCGAGGGAAGGAAAGAGGAAAACGACGAAGGAAAAAAGAAAATCGGGGAAGGGATCACAGGGAAACCTAAAGGGTAGGGAGGAATGAGTGATTTAAAGTAGAGTGTAAAAGAAGAACAAAATGTTTTACTGGAACATCAAATGCTAAACTCTCGCAGCATTCGGGCTTTCTCATAGGAAATAGAGGCTGGCGTAAACAGAGTGGTCACAGGGGAGGTGTCAAGTCTCTTGCCTTTTATTTTGCAGCGGATAAGGGCAAATTAAAAAAAGAAAAAGAAAAGGAAGTTGTACAAACTGTAAGTGTAATAAATGAAGATGTTTGTCACACATTGTGCAATACAGCGGGTAAAATAAGTATTGAACACGTCACCATTTTTCTCAGTAAATATATTACTAGAGGTGTTAATGACATGAAATTTTCACCAGATGTTGGTAACAACCCAAGTGATCCATACATACAAAGAAATCAAACCATAAATGTCCAAAAATGAAGTTATTTGTACACACCAATGCCACTAGTTTCTCCATACAGGAGG